CATTGTCTGTGTGCCACTCATACTGTGATGGCACTTCTCATCTGTGTTGCCACTTAACGCTAGACAAGAAATAAAACCAGAAATCAAGCCCTGATTTTGATAGCATTTTGCCAGTTTCTGCGATGTGAACGCTTCAGCCACACGGTGCTTATCAAGCCAGACCCTGTGCCCTGCAGCTGGATACTGAAGAGTAAAGAGGTGCAACACACACACAGACTGCCTTTGCACCATCCACATACTGCTGTGTGTGCACTGACTGAGATTTCGTAATCATTAGATTTAACAACCGGCTTCACTGAAATCTTAACGTTCTACTGTATACCTCAGTTCATGCGCCTTCTACTCAACACCACTTCCTTCCTTCCCAGTTCTGAGAAGCTCTACTCTCAGCGAGGCTTACAGCCATACTTTTTTTTTTTAAGTATATGGCAGCAGGTGTTAGGGCTCAAATTGGTTCAATTGTTTTTTTTTTTAAAGATTTATTTTTATTATTTTTTATTGGAAAGGCAGATATACAGAGAGGAGGAGGAGAGACAGAGAGGAAGATCTTCCGTCCGATGATTCACTCCCCAAGTGAGCGCAACGGCCAATGCTATGCCGATCCAAAGCTAGGAGCCTCTTCCGGGTCTCCCACACGGGTGCAGGGTCCCAAAGCTTTGGGCCGTCCTCGACTGCTTTCCCGGGCCACAGGCAGGGAGCTGGAAGGGAAGCGGGGCTGCCGGGATTAGAACCGGCGCCCATATGGAATCCCGGGCGTGCAAGGCGAGGACCTTAACCACTTGCCACCGTGCCGGGACCAAATTGGTTCAATTGTAATTCTGCATCCTGTATCAGAGTGCCAGCTTGAGTCCTCCCCTCCCCCAGCTGCTTTGCTTCTGATCCAGCTCCATGCTCTTGTTCCGAGATAGCAGGAGATACTGTGTTAAGTACTTAGGTTACTGTCTCATGTGTGGGAGACCCGGATGGAGTTCCTGGCTCCTAAGCCAGTCCAGGTGTTGCAGCCATCTGGGGAGTGAACCAGCAGCTAGATGATAGATCTCTCTATGCCTTTCAAATAAATATATCTTTAAAACAAATTCTTCAGGTGTAATAGACTTTCCACAGAATAAGGGGCAGCAGGTGCCAGACGCAAGACATGATAACACGCTCTTGCGGAGATACAGGGAAGCAAGGACTCCGTGACCGTGGTTTCAGGGGTCTAACCTGTACGGGACATGCTTGCATTCCAGCCCCAGTACTGACACCAGTGGGACCTTATACAAGTCACCTCACATCCTGAGCTTCATTTTTTTTTTAGACTAAAAAATTGAAATAGATCTCTGGTTCTTTTTTCAAGATTAATTTTTTTAATCTATATTTCAAAGACTGATTTAGAGAAAGAAATGGCTGTAATGGTCACTGCTAGGCAGCTCCCAGTCCAGGAGCCAGGAACTTCCTCTAGGTCTCCCACATGGGTGCAGGGTACCAAGGCTTGGGGCCATCTTCTGCTGCTTTCCCCTGCCATAAGCAGGGAGCTGGATGGGAGGTGAAGCACCTGGAATACAAACTAGTGCCCATATGGGATGCTGCAGCTGCAAGGGAAGGCTCACTCTAAGCTACGGCGCCAGCCTCTAACATGTCTGGCTATTAGTAAGAAGGCAGAATCTGAAGGGAACTTTGTTTAAATATTTACCACACATTAGTTCTTTCAATTTGCAAATATACCTAGACTACATCCCCAAAGTTTCTGCTTCAGTGGATTGAAAGTGTATTCTTAAAGTCTCCATGGGTGCCTCTGATGCACCATCACTTGAGACCTACCAGATCTGATCTTTTAACTTCCATTCTGCTCCCTTGCTGGCAGTTCTCTATTTTGTTTGCAGCAACTGCATGTTAGCAAATGGCCACAAGGTGGTGGTAGTATGCCATAGTCACACTAAGCCGAAATTCATCATGGCAGCTCATGCCCATCATGTCTTGTGTAACATCCATACAAAATGAACTTTAGTACCACGCAAAGGAGTCATTCGCTTGCTTACTTTGTAGTTGTAATAAAATTGCCAGCTCATTCATAGCCTCAATGCTTTCTTGTTTAAACAGAACCTCACCCAAACCTCCATGGACTCGCTTGTACTGCCCCACACTCTCCATTCGGATCCCGATTCCCAAATTGTGGCACTTATGTCCCAGCAGGAACCTCTCTGGGACTGCTGCCCAACCACCCTGAATCCTGCTGTGACACTTCCGACCATAGGGAGCTACTACAGACTCTCCACTTGTCTAGACTCTCCACTTTTATGTGTTCTATGGTGACTCAGAGTTGATTAGTTTAACCTTCCAAACCCCAAAGCACGCTGTTTTAAATGCCCACTTTGGTCCTGGAGGCTTACCCTTGTCCTCCCGTCACAGCTCCCACCTCATCACCTGACTTGCCACCTACAGTGGATGCTGAGTCAGCTGTGCACTTTTGGGCAGGGCCCAGCTGACTCCTGCTGTGCAAAGGTGGGTGTTTTCTTACAAACCCTTAACCCAAAGACACACAGGAGAGTGCAGGCATCTTCCAGGTTGATGGCTCAGAAGCCAGGATCCCGGCTCCAGCCACAGGGGCCATTCCTCAAAGCTCAAGGTGGCCCTGCCTTGTAAATCATGACAACTGCGAACCTTCCATGACAGTGACTCATTCCGTTGTATGAAGTGAGGGAAACTGAGGGAATCATGACATGGCTTTTCCTAACCCAGACCACCAGCAGGCAGCGGAAGAAAGGGAATTTGGCAGGATGGCCAAGCACCCAGGCACAGCCCTAGAAGGGCCAGTTCAAAGGAACCTAGATGTGTTTCAGAAGGGCTCAGCCTCACCCCATTATTCCGGACACCCAGATGCCCAACCAGATGCTATAAACAACCTGCATGGCACACCACACACAGGGGCCAGGATAGAGGCAGAGAGCAGGACAGAGAGAACCATGGCCAGGAGCCTGGACTGTGCTCGCTTATTTATTTTGAAAGCAAAACTGGATTTGCTGGTTCACTCCTGAAACAGCCAGGGCCAGGCTGGAGCCTGATCTCCCACGTGCGTGGAGAGGGTCATCATCTGCTACCTCCCCAGGCATATTAGCAGGGAGCTTGGTCAGAAATGGAGACTCCAGGACTCAACACATGACTGCATCACTGGCAGCAAACTAACCCACTGTGCCTTAAGGCGGCCTCATTTAATGTGGCTCTCTCATTTAAATATCATATATATGTAATTATGTATACATATAATTATATATATATGAGATATATAGTCAAAGTCAAGGCCAGAGAGGCTGCTTCATAAGGAGACCACACTGCAGCATGCAGATGGCAAAAGCGATGAGGACACTGTGCGAGGCAAGGTCCCCACCCAGTCTTGCCTGAAAGCGAGAGGTCGAGATCCTGTACTCCTGCTCCCAGCTCGGTGTGTAGCAGTGAAGACCAGGTACCGGGGCCACACCCATCCCGTATGGTGAGTTGGTCCACAAGACCCCCACCAAAACCAGACAGAGAACACGGCCTTGATGGTTTTCCCCGAGTAACTCGCCTCCCCTTGCACCTGTCAGGAAGCACCAACGAGAAGAGAATGTGAAGTACTCATGATCCCACCAGCCAAGGCCAATAATTCCTTCCATCTGTGGGCACCGTTTTCCAGAGTTTCTCCCAAGTTAAACATGTGGGTTCCCCCCACCTGAAACTCTTTCTCTGCTGTTTACTCAGCAGTATGTTTGTCTTCTCCATCATATATTTTGAAATATCAACCTCAAGAGCTGCTAGATTCCACTGTCTGGAGATACACACTAATGCTCCACATGGAGGAGCTTTCTGAGTTTGCATTACATATGGAACACTGCAGACCGCCCTGATGGAGAAACCTCTGTAACATTCACTTAAGGTTGTACTTCAAACGTAACAGCGAGGCAGTAGGCACGCAAGTCTTAGCACTTGCTGTGGCATGGCAGAGCTGTCCTTCTCCAAGCTATTTTGATGAGGATGAACCCGACTGGTCTGTGAGATGTCACCTCTCCCCACGCCCCTCCACTCAGGCTGCCTGTGTTTGGGTCAGCTGTCTTCGCCATCCAAGAGTCCAAATGGAGTCCAGTGACTCTAGGTGGCTGATTTTTCTTCTGCATTCATCCCTAGCTTCAAACTACTGAGAGAAGAGTCAGCAACAAACAGAGCCACACTTTCCCCACATTCAACAAAACCTAATATGCTTCTAAGTAACCGCACTTAGAGAAAGAATCTATTGAAAATCGGATTGTGTTTTCAGCTGGGCAATTTGGAGGGGTGGGGAAATGACTCTAAAAAATTAAATGATCTAAAAATACAGCTTAGGAATTGGGGAAAGCGAGCAATAATAAGGTCGGTAGCTCCTGCGGCATTTCTGTGCACCCTCTCTTCTCTACAAACAGTGCTTGGGACGATGCTTGGTGCGTGTTAGGCTGGCTACAACTTAGAGGCTACGACTCTTAAACATGGTGTTTCCAGCTCGTCGATCTGCCACAGTAACCCACCAGGCATGATCAACCTCCTTGAAAGTGATTTCACTTGGGAGCATAGGGGATGCCTGCTGGGCCCTGGGTCCCAGTGGCCTGGCAGAGAGCATTACACTGTGTCTCCTAGTTTCCTTCACTTTGGATCGCACGAAGATGTTCAGGGATGATTTATACAAACATTTGGGAAAGCAAGTGTCAAGGTAAGTTCCTCGGTATCATTCAATCCCACACACAGGGACCTGCTCCTGTGCTTTTACATAGACAACTGTTTGTCGAAGTTTTAAAAGTTTTGCATGAGTAAGGGATGCAGGATTAGGCTCCAGGGATCCATTGGACTTGAAGAAAGAGCAGTGACTGTAATTTCATTAATGGTCTCCTGGATGATTCGGCTACAAGTTTTAATTCTCCATTAAATATTAATGCCGCACAGTGCCTCGTATCCTGCCTTGAGTCTCACACCGCTCCAGTGGACACTAACTTGTTCCATATTTTATAACTGAACCACAGGGCTTTTTCAGGAGAAGTCAGCAAAGCAATGCCACCTACTCCTGTCCTCGCCAGAAGAACTGTTTGATTGATCGAACTAGTAGAAACCGCTGCCAGCACTGCCGACTACAGAAATGCCTTGCCGTGGGCATGTCGCGGGATGGTGAGCTCCAGTGGGGTTGGGAAAGTGCCTTCTGAAACCCAGCGCCCCCTCCTGCCCTGTCTTCCTGTCCCCAAGGCTGCTCCCCTGGCATCTTCTGAAGGAATTTACAGCAGTTCCTTCTATCTCATAATCCATTAGGATCAACTGATGGGTTGATGCAGAAGGCACAGTGGAAAACTGTCTTATACGCTTGCTCTCAGCCAAAAGGCCAAGAAACAATGGAAAACCGTCTTATGATCAGGGAAACTTTCTAGTTTTTGAGATTTCAGACATTACGGGTGGATCAGCTGATGGAGGGCCTTTGTAAACCTTCCCCAGGCCTTTCCTCCCGTGAGGAGCACAAGCCAGCCGGAACTCACTGCTCCCTGCTGCATACTCCGATACGTTTATTCGTTAGTGTCTGTGCTAACTGTACCTTTGGACTCATGTGCAAAGGGTTTAAAATAGTGGCACGTGAGGCCATATTTGGGAGGATCTCCCATTCGGGGCCAGTTCCTCTCACAATCTTCCTGGAAGATAAACCTTAGGGGCCGTGAAGAATTACAGTCTTCCAGACAGTTCCTCCTCTGCGGAGACTGATTAGAAAAGAGAGGCAATGCCTTTTAAGGACTTTGCCACTGATGCCCACTGGCTCTCTTAAGAGATTCCGTTGAAGGCAATGTTTCCTCTTGTAGGAAAACCTGCATGGCCCAAAGATGTGATGGACGTTCCTGGGTCCTTCCGCCTCACCCAGGCATAAGACCCCTTTTGTCCTTTGGATTCTAAAAGACCACCCCTATACCACTATAAAAGTGATGTTTTCTCATTCAAAGCCATGGAAGTACTTTTAAAAGTCTGGGAGAAATGCAATCAAATGATTATTTTGGGGGACCCAAAAATTACTTTTTTGAAGGCTATATGTACAGTGGGTCTGCAAAAATTTGTGAAAGACACATATCATGAAAAAAAAATGCATGGATTTCAATGTTTCTGGGTACCAAAATGCAGCTCCTTGTTTTACTTCCTTTTTTTTTCCATGCACCTTTCAAGTCCCTCCAGCATAGTCACTGAACCTAAGCTGCGATGTTCTCCCGGAGGCCCACGGCACGCAGCTGTGTACACTGCACCTTCTGGGGGCCTCACACTAACCAAGTTGGCCATCTCTCCTAGGAATTTAGAATCCCAAGCTGCTAGAGTTGGTCCATCTATTCCATCCTAGGGCGATAGGGCCTCTGCTGCCCCTGGGAAGGCAGAAGTGAATGGAACAAGTCCTGGCTTGGGTGTACTACAGACCATTCTTTTCCCAAAAAACACACACATGCACACACCCCATTACTGTAACTCCTGACAATTACTCACATGAGAAACAGAGTGAACTTGGGAGCTTCTCAAATTATGGGCCCAACGTTTAGACCCCCACTTCCATCTAGTCACATTTGTTATCTGAGTCACAGACACTGAAATTGGACCAGAGTCCACTCATTTGCTTCCTCTGGGTAAAAAAGGCACCGTGCCCTCCTTGGCATGGAATCTGCCAGCTGACCAGCATGGCAGCCCTGATTCCAAACTTCTTTCTGTCCTGTCCCGGATTCACACAGCTCTGATGATCAAAGAGACGCGCTCATGTTCCCTGTCGGCTGTAAACTCAACCACCACCAATTAGGAGAACGAAATCTCTCCCGCAGAGCGGCTACCTGCCCCTTCAGAGATGAAGCGAGCAATAAATGCCTTAGTAGGAGAAATCAGGCCAGGATATTATAGGGTTCCCTGGGCCCCCAGGGACTGTGTGTTGCAGGAAAAATCGTTCGACATTGGGAACTGGGAAGGTACTCTCTGCTCCCCCTCAAATAGAGGGACACACTCCATGAAGGAACACTGCCAGCACACATGCCCCCAGCAGGGTTCTCTGGCCCTTTCCAAATCCTAGATGCTCCCCTGGTCAATGAGAACGGCAGGAAGCGCCCTCTGATGGCAGGTTCATGGGTTGCACAGGGGTCCACTCGGCTCAGCGCCTTAGCAGGCAGCCCTTGTTCCCCAGGCTTGGGCCTCTTCCTGAAGCCCCCCAGGTTTGGGCTGCTGCTTGGGAAAGACCCTCATTCACACATAGACAGAACCCAGAAACCTGAATGCAAGTTGAGGTTGGGCCACTGCTGTCTGGCTGAGGAGGAGGAGGGCTTGCCCTTCCATGCAAGTGGACCCAGGCAAGCATACCCACTACCTCCCACCTCAGTCGGTCCCAGCGAGTCCAGGCAGGTGAGACAGCAGAAACACACTCCCCTCTGCCCGTCCTGGGGCTGCTTCTGAAACACCCACGTTCCTAGCCTGTGTGAGGTGGGGCTCTCGTCACCTCTGCATGCGGTCCTCCTCCTGTGGTTTCTGATGGAGACCGCACCCTGAAAGGGAAGCCCTTAGGGCCCATAGATCGGGGCTGCACAGGAAAGCGCCTCATCCTTGGCATGCTCTGGCTTTCTGTTTTGTTCCAGCTGTAAAATTTGGCCGCATGTCGAAAAAGCAGAGGGACAGCTTGTACGCGGAGGTGCAGAAGCACCGGCTGCAGCAGCAGCAACGTGACCACCCGCAGCAGCCCGGAGAGGCCGAGCCGCTGACGCCCACCTACAACATCTCCGCCAACGGGCTCACGGAGCTGCACGACGACCTCAGCAACTACATGGACGGGCACACCCCCGAGGGCAGCAAGGCTGACTCGGCGGTCAGCAGCTTCTACCTGGACATCCAGCCCTCTCCCGACCAGTCCGGTCTGGACATCAACGGCATCAAACCGGAACCCATCTGTGACTACACACCAGCATCCGGCTTCTTCCCCTACTGTTCCTTCACCAATGGGGAGACGTCCCCGACCGTGTCCATGGCAGAATTAGGTAACGGCGCGCGTGCTTCCAGTCGAGCCCCTTGAACGTGCAAGGGACTAAGAAGCTGCATCATTAAAACCATGTGCTGACGCCCTACCATCATGAAGCCTTCCTCGCTTTTTCCACTGCCTTGTGTTTTATTTCAGCATCTAAAAGTGACCCAGAGCGAAGGTTGGGACTTTTCCCCATTAAGTTCAGGGAACAGCCCTGTTAGCTTCATGAGATACTTAATTTGGCTATCAAACAGGACCCTTGGGTATAACTTAAACCATGGGGGGATGGGGGGGTGCCACAAACTGAGCCCTACCATAGGCACAGTTTGGGGACCAGTGCATGGCCTTGTAAGTGTCTTGAATCATGGGCTGGCATTTGGCCAAGTGGTAAAGATGGAGTGCCAGGGTTCCAGAGCCAGCTTCCTGGCAAGTGGGAGACCCTGGACAGCAGCAGGGGGTCCCTGCCACCCAGGTGCGAGGCCTGGAGCAAGTTCCTCCTTCGTGGCTTGAGCCCTAGCCAGTTCCGGCTGCTGTGGGCCGGTGGGGAGCAGATAGATAGGAGTGTGTTGTGTCTCCCTGTGTCCCCAATAAGACATTTTTTATTCAGTCGCTACAATTTTACATTTTTTTTTACTTTGGTTTTGATTCCTAATAATCTCACATATTATGTACTGCACTGTAGTGCATTTAAATTTTTATTTAGTTATTTCAATAACTGGTTACTCTGAAAATCAGAGTCACAGAGAGATAAAGAGAGAGATGAGCCAACCACTGAATGGGTGGAACCAGTAGCTAGGAGTTTTCATCCAGGTCTTCCCGTAGGCGACATGGGCCAAAGCACTTGGGACCTCTTCCACTGCTTTTCGCAGGTGCATCAGCAGGAATATGGGTTAGAAGTAGGGAAGCCCAGGACAAGAACTGGTATCCCCTCTGGGATGCCAACAACACAGGTAGTAAACTTAACCTGCTACACCACCACACCGGCCCCCACAGTGTACCACCTCAGAGCACTTAGCATAGCCATTAACTCCACACCATTGTCCTTTCCCAGAAGAACATTCCAAATCCGTTCATCTAGCTCCCTGGAACAACAGAAAGTAACACTGCCACATGTGGTGGGTTCCCCCACCCCCACCCCCACCCACTCTCAGCGGGACACCAGGACTTGGAGCTCTCTGCCCGTGTTTTTCCTCTAACCTTGGACAGTCAGAATGAAAAGTTCCGACTCTGCTTCTCATGGGAAAGGCGGGAAATACAGGGCTTGCCTTTGTGACGTCAGCAAGGGCCTGGCAGCAACAGCCAGGTGGGCCACCAGCTCGGCTTGTTCCCATCATCTGTCCAGCCCTGTAAGCACCTGAATTTTACAACTTGGATGGATAGCACCCATGGGCCAGAGAGCTCAGCGTCCAGTCTGGCCAAAACCCTTTGCTGAACACGCACCACATTTATGCATTTCATGTAAGGTTCACCCCACTCACCCCCCCCCAAAAAAAAACACCCCTACATCATTTCCTTGTTGCAGGGACATGCCTGCATTTTTGGAAACGTGACCCAGAAATGCTGAGAGCACAGACAATGGCCAGCATCCCATTTTAAGGAAGTGGCGTTACTCTACTATATTTAATCTATTTTTTTTTCAGTAGGGTGCTATTATTAGAGAGGCTTTGATGAGGGCCTTTGCCGCTTTGGGGTGTAGACTTGTTCCTCCTGGTGATCTCTCACCCAGGGTTACTATCCTTCTGGGAGATTTCAATTAGCAGCCATGGAGGGGACTGAGGGCTCGCGCGGCAAGGCTGGAGGCTTCAGACGGCAGAGCACCAGCAGGTTCCGACTTGAGCACTGGACTGCTCAGTTCCCGGGAATAATGGCCGCGTTCTTTACAGGGCTTCTCCGCCCCACTGCCCCATGAAACAGCTTTTAAGTGAAAATTTATATTTCCAGTAAAAAAAAAAAATCTTCTCCAAATAGAACAAATTGAATGTTCTTGACGGTTTTTTACACAAGCATCTCTTTATGGGTCTAAATTTAAATCCTCAAGAGCCAGGGACATTTTCAGCCTGGTTTCCACTGAACGGCATTAAAGGTGGATTGCAGCTCTTTTGATTAACAGAGAAACCTCTGAACTAGAAGCCAAACAGAGTAGAGGGTAGGTCTGATATATATATATATTTTTTTTTTTTCTTAAACTAGAACAAAAACTTTTCCATTCCTGTCATAAAATCTTGGATGGCTGAAATCTGAAGCCAAACTGTCATGAAAGTGAAAATTTCAGAACCAAGGGAGAGTTTGATGGAAAGCTGACATGGGACCACAGAAAACGACCTGACTCATTTCCAGCTGCCTTCCACCTTACTAGAAATACTAGGGCTTCGGCCTGTTTGCTTGTCTGTAGTGCTTAACCAGAAAGTTGCCCTTGCAAGTGGCATTGTGGCTAGCCAGGCTATAAGACCTTCTCGGGGACAAGATGGGTGTCCTCCTCCCCACCCAGCACCATCCAGCACTGTCCCCTCCGGATCCCGCGTCCTCACAGAGACAGACTGTTCTCAGGGTCGCTGGCATTTTTTTTTTCTGGGATGATTTAAATTCAGTCCCAAATCTAAAGCTTGCACTAGACATCTCTGGCAGGCACATCACCAGGCTCCCATCCATCCACTTGCCCCACTTTCCTCGCATACAGCACAACCGGGGGCACCCACGGACGGGACCCACAACTTGTCTGACGTCCCCTGACAGTCCCTTTCAGGCCTTAAGTCCTTGGTCTCGGAGAAGAGCACTGATGGCATCTCAGCCTTAACTTTGTCATAGATGAAAATTAAGGAAGAAATTACAGATGATCCCTTCCTGAGACCACATCTGTCTTCTCATCAGCACCAGACCCACACCCCACCACTCCTAGTAGAAGCCTGTCTCCACCCCTAGGGAAGTCTGCCCTTTGCGGACAGTTCCCAAATGACACACTTCAGTGAGATAGCCTTCATTCATTTAAAAAAAAAGGCACTAGTTGTGTTTCTTCCCCTAACAGACATAAACCTCTGGGCAGGCACTGGGCAGGCGCTGGGCAGGCGCTGGGCAGGAGCTGGGCAGGAGCTGGGCAGGCGCTGGGCAGGAGCTGGGCAGGAGCTGGGCAGGAGCTGGGCAGGGGCTGGGCAGGAGCTGGGCAGGAGCTGGGCAGGAGCTGGGCAGGAGCTGGGCAGGGCGGCCTTTAAGGGTCACGAGGTCAGACACTGTAGGCTGTGGCCTTAGTCCGACTTGAAGCCGTACACACGATGCAGGATAAATCAAGTCAGCTGCAAGCAGCAGTCACCCTCCCCGCGGGTGGGGGATCACGGCCCCTGGGAGAAGGCGCTTGCTCTCACTGGGGCTCAGTTTTACCATCTGTAAAACGATGCCCGCCCCTTTGCCGGCCCCTGGGGTCGTCACGCGCATTAAACAGGAAACAGAAAACACGAGGGCCTAACACAGAGAAGCTGCTCCATGCGTGTTAGTGTTGTCCGTTATTAATGCCAGCACCAGCAAGAGGAGGAACATTCGCACCAAATGCGGTTTCTAAAGTGGCCTTTAGAAACCTTGGAAGCCGGCGTTTCCCGCCCGCGACGCCCAGGCACTGGCTGTGAGGAGGCTTGCCCAGTCCCGGATAGAGATGGAAGTCCACTGATCTTAGACCAAAAAGTAGTTTTGCTAACTTCTGGCCCCGAGGTAGTCCACTCTTCCAGACGGGGCTCCCTCAGAAACCGCCTGACTTCTCAGCTTTTATGCCATCTGAGACCACATTCTCCCTTTCTCAACTATAGATTTTAAAATAGCCAGGTGTCTGCAATCCCCACACGTTGCCCTATCTGCCGGGATCTGGGATCAAAGGCAGAGAGCCAAGCATTGGTGCGAAGGCAGCCACTGCCCTCTACTGGTGAATCATGGGAATTGCCGCGTTCTGTAATTTCTTGCTGTTGTAAAAGCTGGACTCAGGAGGACAAGTGGGCAGGCTTTTTAGCAGACAGTGAAACAAGATGCTGACCATCTCAACTGGTGAGGAAGCATAAGCTGGAAGGCAATGATGGGAGCTTCCTCCCGGTGCTCGCCTTACAAGATTCCCGTTTCCTTATGAGCACTTCATGGTCGCTTTTTTTTTAATATCTGAAAACATATATATACCTATCATTTCAGAAATTACCTTACATAGGGAGGGTTCTTGGGAGATAGTTCAGCAGCATATTTACACATCCACTGTCTTGTTTCTGACTTGTAATTGTTGCTTGTGTTTGCTTTTCACAAGCAACACTGACATAATTTACTAGCTGCTGTCTGTTTCCTTCCAGTGTATGTTTCTAAATTTTTATTTTTCATTTGAGAGACAAAATGAGCGAGTGAGGGCCCTCTCGCTTGTTGCTTCACTCCCCAAATGCCTGTGACAAGCTAGTTCTGTGGGCCAGGCTGCTGTTGGCAGTTGGGAACTTAACCCAGGTCTCCCACGCGGGTGGCAAGAACCCAGTCACGGGAGCTGCACAGCTGCCTCGTGGTTCCTGCGTGGGGAAGAGGCTGGAGGCAGGAGCCCGAGGTGGGAATCAGCTCTCCCAGGACACAGGAGTCTGCACAGCTAGCCCGAGTACCCCCAGCACCTCACACTCTCGTGTTCTGGTGCCTCTGTCGCCAAGCAGGGCCAGTGAGGTTCATGAGGCCGAGGTTTCACTGCGGAGAGGTTCTCACTCCAGACTTCATCTAGGCAAGCCTGCCCTGTTTTCAAGCAAGTCTGGCTGTGTGGAAGGAAAGCCGTAACATCCCAAACAACATTCTCTTACTGGCATTCCATGCCATGCTCTCATGTGCCTGGCCCTGTCCTACACCCCAGTCCACAGGAAGGAGACCACTTGGGTGTGGTTTCTTAGTCTCTGAATCGGTTTGATTTCCCTTGCAAAATGCTTCTCTGGAGCAGTAGACACTTGCCCAAAGTGGTAACGTTATCGGGTGGGACACCAGTATGCTTTATGAGAGTGCCCACCCAAGTTCAAAACCCATCTCCCCTCGTGACCCTGCCCTCCCACTCACAAACACCCCTGGGAGGCAGCAGGTGAGGGCTGCTGCAGTGGCCCTTGGGCACAGCTGATGACCAGCCCGTTCAGAGCTGTCCACGGCTCCCACCTGGGCTCTCGGAGCCTCTCCTTTGCTCTTCCTGCCTCGCCTCTCTGCGTTCCAGTGCACCCTGCATGAAACCACTATCTGCTTGCCCTCTGTCCCCAGGGGCAGTTTTCGGAATGTCAGCTGGCCCTTAAGAGCCATGCTGCACCTGCTGTCAGCGGAAGTGCAACTGCACTTGGGCTTCAGGTGCTTCAGCACTTGGAAGCTTCCCTGCCTTTCCATGCACCATTCCCCTCTCACATCTCCATGTCCCCCACCATTGTCATCGGTGCTCCTTGGCCCACTATGCCTTCTACGTGGAGCTAACCACCGCCCGGCACCACTGGCCTCTGCCCACCTAACCTACCCAGCCTTTAGGGCCCAATCCAATTGCTCCTCTTCTCGCTGGACACATCCCCTTAAACCCCAGTCAGCCAACAGTCATCTCTCCCTTTGCGGATGGCACCTAATGGTACTATCCTTGTCATCATCATGCTTTACTATCAAATGAGCTGAACTGTCCTTGGAATTTCTCATGGAAAACTTTGTTGACTGCTGTTCTGTTTTTATTTAACGCCCCTCACACACAAACACACACACAGTACAATAATATTTACACAGCACATGCTGTATAAACCTCCCTGTTCTAAGGCCTCAACTCACTATCACAGTTGACTCCATGATGTAGGAAATACAAAACAAGGAAATTACAAATAAGGCAACAAAAGCAGAGACAGAAATGTTAAGTACATCCACAGAATTACACAGCGAGCAAACGGCAAAGCTAAGCCCCAGTCCCGAAGTAATCAAACTCCAGGGTCTTCTACCAACTACATCTGACATATTCAGGTCCTCAGGAATGCCTGTTCTGTGTGCAAGAATAGCAAAATACATGCAGAGGTCATATCATACAAGGTTATTAGTTTTCCAAGAATGTCCCTTCCCAGCTATGACAATAGATGCATCCTCATAAAAATGCCAACAAGAGGTCATGGCCACCAATTCCCATTGCCACATAGGTCTAGGTTTGCTCACTCCCGGGCACTGGTATCCCAAGCCTCAGGAGGAGGGTAAGATCCGGGAAGTTGAAGTCAGCAAGCCCTGCGTTACATTGTCAGCTGGGGAAAGCCCTCGCCCCTCATTCTCGCATTTCCCAGTAGAGAAGGGTTCCAGAATACCTGCTTTGGGTGTGTGGCAATAACCACACTGGTTGGGCGTGTTGCTGTATGCCTCTTCCTCTTTCGAGCAGAACTAAGTAGAGGAGCTGCTGTGGAAGTCAAGAAGCAGCTGACTTTTCATGCCTGTGATCTCCTGTTTCCTCCTTAGAGCACCTGGCACAGAATATATCCAAGTCTCATCTGGAGACCTGCCAGTACTTGAGAGAAGAGCTCCAGCAGATCACGTGGCAGACCTTCCTGCAGGAGGAGATCGAGAACTATCAAAACAAGGTAGGGGTCTGGGAGAGCTGGCTGAGGTCACACAGACCAGGGAAGGAATGCCTTCAGCAGATACCAGGTTTCTGCTTAAAGACCTTTCTTCCAGGGCTAACCATGTGCTCGAGGCTTCATCATCTTACTGAGATGCCATCATGTGGAATTTCAGTGATTCTGTCGTCCTTCGCTATAAACATACACATATCCCCGTGTCCCCTCTCCCCACTTCCACTTGTGAGCAGGGAGACCAGATGAAGCAGTTTCCAAAGCTGAAATGCATTGGCAGCTGTCCTGAATACACAATGGAAGCAACATCTTCAGGTCTGGAGGTTGATGTAAAATAATCCCAGCCTCATGTTTGCAGAGGTTAAAATAAAGGAATGTAAAGTGTGTGTGTGTGTGTGTACGCACGCACAGACAAGCACACACAAATATAAAACGGGGGTTAGAATCCATGACCGCAACTCTAGTTTTCCAGCCTGCACTGTGAGGCTAGGTCAGGCTGCTACGCACCTTTTTCTGTGTAGTACTGTGACCAACAGAACCACTTGAAAGGGCAAACAAACTGGACAGAGGCAAAATTTGACTCTCCATGTCACCAGCTGTAAAGCAAAGGCTGTGGTGCTTGTCATCCATCATACAAAACTCCAGGCTGGGAAAGGACCTAGGAGACTGCCAGGCCCGTCGTCTCCGTCTTAGATGAGAAAACCAGCATGACTACCTGAGACCTTGGGCTCTGAATTGTTTCTCCCACCCCATCTTATTGGGGAGAAGTCTTAAACTTTAGATTATGGAAACAAGTGAGCAATGCAAGAAGTGCAAGGCATGCCGAGCTACACTGCAGAATGAGCATGCCGAAGGAACGTCACGGCTCAGGTTGGGGAACAAGCAGCACTTCAGTTGGCTTGTTGAGATGACAAGTGATGACGGAGGAGGAAGCATCCAGAAACACTAGCAGAGGAAATGGGATTGAAAAGTTGGAGGTGTTAACATTTCACCCTACCAACTGTGGAAGCTCGTGTGAGTTTTTGGTGGCTCCTTCTGGAAAACTGATTTTTTTTTTAATGTTCATTTCAAAATTAAAGACGACGAGGATGTCGTAAAAACGCTGTGCTCCTAGTAGGCACAGAGTTCACTGAATGAACTCTCTGCTTCCCACTACCTCATAAAGTATATTACATTTCCCAAAGCAAAATACTTGTTTTAAAACCTTTGCTGCCCTCCATGTCCCAGTGCTAAAGGCAGTGACGTGTACGAGTGCCTAGACTCTGCATCCCTTCCTCTGTGTCACCCCATTTCTCCCACTAACAAGTCAGAGAGGAATCACATTAGAGAGGAGAAAGAGCAGGAAACCCATCTTTATAACCCCAAGAACCGGGCAACTACTTATGTATTTTTTTGTTAATCCTTGAGGCTTCTTGAATCCATCTCCCAGTCTGACCACATAGGGTCAGCCAGCCCAGTGGTGCCAAGGGTATTGGGTAACCGCACGGGTTCACGCGTGTCTCTCTTTCACAGCAGCGAGAGGTGATGTGGCAGTTGTGTGCCATCAAGATTACAGAAGCTATCCAGTACGTGGTGGAGTTTGCCAAACGCATTGATGGATTTATGGAGCTGTGTCAAAACGATCAAATTGTGCTTCTAAAAGCAGGTATGTGCTTTGCAAGTGAATTTTGAGGTCTCTTCCTAACCTGCTTTTCACCTGCTTATTAAAGAAATGCTGGCTAAGGAAGGTGTCGCCAACAGTTTTCCTCCAATGACAATAGCTCGGATTTTTCTTAGCAGAAAAGGAGTTCTTTCTGTAAAGGGTTTTTTTTTTTTTTTTAAGCTGTGTTCAGGAAACATTCCCTCCATTTTGCTACTCCTGTAAGTGAAAAGATGAACAGATACCTGCCTTCCTAAATTTGACCCTCACCCAGGCTTGGTTCCCACTGCAGATCGCCTGGGCTTTTACAATCAGTTGTTAGGGAAGAGGCTGTGGAATTCAAACTCCTGTTTTTAATGGTTTCTTTCAATAAACAGGAGTTGATGTTTTTGCAGCCATTTGGAGACTTTCCCTTTTGGAAGGTGGAAACCACGCTCTCCACCTTTTTTCTCAATAGCCCTTAGGTTCAGCACAATGCCCTGGCTGCCTGTAGACAGCTGCCCTTTGGCATCGACAGCTGAGGTCCCCGAGTGCCCACAAGCTCAGCTGCACTGGACACTCACAGAGGGCTCTGCACAGGAACACCTCCCTGACACTGAATGGCCCCAACAATTTCTCTCTGTCTGTTTAGGCTCTCTAGAGGTGGTGTTCATCAGGATGTGCCGTGCCTTTGACTCGCAAAACAACTCCGTGTACTTTGATGGGAAGTATGCTAGCCCCGAAGTCTTCAAATCCTTAGGTAAGGAGCTCTCCAAGTGCCTGCCTCTCCATCAGGGCAAAGATGTGGGGCTGGGTGAAAGCTCTGACAAAATGCAAAGTGGTTATACACGGAAAACAAAAATTACCGGGGATGTTTAAAAGGTCACCTGCCTCAAACACACTTTGTCAGTGTTTGCATTTAAATATCTAGAATTTTAGTTTACATAGTTGTCAATGGAAAACACTTACATTATGATTCCCTTTCAGATTTTTCCAAACCCCAGATTTGCCAGGGATACATGATGCAGATCACTCACAGGATGTGATTATTTCCCCTCCAAGTGCTGCTTCACTCCCCGATGGCTACAACAGTTAGCAAGGAAAGAAACTGCCAGGGCCCAGCGTGATGGGGTGCAGATTATCAGTGGCTAAATCCTCACCTGGCACACACCAGGACCCCATATAGGCACCAGTTCATGTATCAGCTGCTCCACTTCCCATCCAACTTCTTGCTGTGACCTTGGAAAGCAGTAGACGATGGCCCAAAGCCTTGGGACCCTGCACCTGCATGGGAGACCCAGAAGCAGCTCCTGGTTTCAGATCGGCTCAGCTCTAGGCCACTGTGGCCACTTGTGGAGTAAACCAGCAGACAGAAGATCTTTCTCCCTGTCCTTCTCTCTATAAAACTGCCTTTCCAAAAAAAAAAAAAAGAAAAGAAATCTATTTTTTTTTTTAAGAGGAGTGTGCCAACCCAGGATGCAGGAATTCAATCTTGTTCTCCTGTGTGGGAGGCAGGGCCCAGGATATGCATCAGCAGGAAGCTAGACTCAGAACCCAGGCACTCTTGTATGTGACTGAAGCAATCCCAGCAGTGTGCTAACTACTGCACCCGATACCCATCCAGAGACTGTCACTGAATTCAAACAAATCAAGCAGAGGGCAAAAAGTCTGTCCTTCTAATCCCTCATCAGCAGCCATTAGTAAGCGTGAAATGCAAATATCAAAAAGCAACAAAGGGGCCTGGCGCAGTATCCTAGTGGCTGAAGTCCTAGCGTTGAACATTCCAGGATCCCATATGGGCATCAGTTCATATCCCAGCTGCTCCACTTTCCTTCCAGCTCTCTGCTTGTAGCCTGGGAAAACAGGGGAGATAGCCCAAAGCCTTGGTATCCTGCACCCAAGTGGGAGACCCGGGAAGAAGCTCCTGGCTCCTGGTTTCCAATTGGCTCAGTTCCATTGCAGCCACTTGGGGAGTGAATCATCAGACAGAAGATCTTATTCTCTGTTTCTCCTCTTCTTTGTATATCTGACTTTACAATTAAAAAATAAATAAATCTTTTTTAAAAAATCACTTTTAAAAAAGTACAGCAAAGTGAAACCATGACATATGGTTTATAAATTATGTTCGATTTATCTCTTTTAAAAAATTCCAGTATGGTCATTAACAATCGTGGGAAGGCAGAGCAAGCATTTGGAGTAACAGTTATGTCTCTGGTTGGGGTGCCCAGCTCCAAGTCCTGGTTCAGCCTCTAACTCTAGCTATTTGCTAACAGACACCCTGAGAGGCACCAAGGAGGGCCGGGGAGGGGGCCGGGGGCCTCCATGCAGGAGACACAGCTTGGGTTTTAGACTCCTGGCTTCAACCTGGCTCAGGGAGGCATTTGGGGAATGAAGCAGCAGATGAAAAATCTCTTCATCTGGCGGCTGTCTCTGTTGGCATTTCAAATAAGAATTTCTTAAATTAAAGTTTAATTTTCTTTAAGAAAGAAAAATGGGAGGCCAAGATATATTAAATGTTAGCTTTAAAGTGACATGATATATGACATGTGCAGTTAAGAGCAGTGAGGCCCTGTGCCATTTATACATATACACATACATACATGATCCTTCAATCTGAAATAGACATAAAATATAACCAGCCTTTAGTAGATCAAATCATTATTATTGCAGGGAACTAGTATAGTCTTGGTTTTCAGTCATAATAGTTTTTACCACCAGAATGTGTCACCTGTTAATATTGGAAGGGTGTTTTTGATCATTTATGAGTCCTCCTCTCAGAGTTAAAGGGAGGTGGTAGGGAGGTTGACTGTGATGATGGCAGAGTTATTGGCTACACAGACAAACATTTCAGACCAAGAAACCATGGCAGCATGAATCTCAACCGCTCTGGTCTTCAGCCAGTGGGTTTCTCTTCACTTCCTTCCACCTTTTGCTCTGCAGATAACTGTCATTATCATAAAGTGTTTCTATTTTCATCTTGGCAGGGTGCGAAGACTTTATTAGCTTTGTATTTGAATTTGGAAAGAGTTTATGTTCTATGCACCTGACTGAAGATGAAATCGCATTATTTTCTGCATTTGTACTTATGTCGGCAGGTAAGAGAACCAAGCAAAATGGCTTAAAATACTTTAAGAAGTTCTTTAAGTTGAATAACTTGTATCAGCTTGCAGAATATTTGAGGGGGAGCTGCCAAGAGTGCTTACAACCTTTATGAACTCTTTGTTTCCCATAGAGAACCCTCCCTCATACACGCACGCGCACACACACACACACTTTCTTATGAGAAAACTTCATCCCTTTCTGACAAAACCTTAAGAAATGAGAATCGAGTAAAACCAACAGCAACGCTGGGGTGAGGTCAGATCAGCCTGCTTCCTAGCAGCCTCCAGGACAAGGTCGTGGACATCCTGCTTCTCCCTGGGGGTCATCCACAAGTTTGTCTGAGTTTACTGCAGGTTTTCAGTCAGTTCTATCTCTTAGGGATAATGACTTTTCCAACTGTGCTATCTTCTATTTGCAATTCATACTCACACACACACACTTTATCCTGGATTAACACTCCTAAATCATTCAACCTTCCATGGACAATTTTCAGTTGTTCTGGAGTATCAGACAATGTTCCATCTTGCCAAAAGGCTAGCGGGATTGAGATGAAGATTTCATTCACAAGTGTAGTTATTAGAAAGGCTTGAGGGGCCATGTTACTTCACTGGCACTCAGACATGTATGGCCTTCGTGCAAAGGACTGTCCTGTAGATGAGGAGGGTCCTCCCTTCCTGGAAGCGGCATAAAGATGGAAACTCCTCCCTGGGTCTATCACTGCCTCAGACCACTCCTTTAGGCGTACCATTTGGAAAAGGAGTGAAATATGCCTTAATATGCACACTGCCCTGATAACCCCGCACCTGAGCCTCAGGAGGAATGGAGCAGCACTCTGGCACCTGTTGGAGGAATACAACTTTTTTTTTTCTGTTTAGATCGCTCATGGCTACAGGAAAAGGTAAAAATTGAAAAGCTGCAACAGAAAATTCAGCTAGCACTTCAGCACGTCCTACAGAAGAACCACCGAGAAGATGGAATATTAACCAAGGTGAGAGCGCCAGGCATTTATGAGAGACATGGCCAAGATCAGCCCTTGGCACAGGTACACAGACAGACCACACTGGCAGCCTGTCCCAATGTCATGTGACCAGTGCCCGTGAAGCGTCAGCAAGCCACAGATTACCAATAGTCACACAGATGAGTCCTGGTGGGCCAAAACTCACTGTTGATGTCAAATTCTACGCATGATCAATAATTACAAAATATCCTGCAGTAATGGAGAAATTTCAGCATCAAATCCATCATGGTTATCCTTCCTCCTATTCCATCAAAATTGGCCTAGAACAGGCTTAACACCTGCAGGTATATAAAATTTAAGAATCTTTGAATTTGGAAAACCAGACTTAAAAAGGAATCAAAGAGTTAAGCAGGACAACTATCTGAGTAGTTCTTTCCTCATTCAGTGACATTCATGCTTGCTTTCTGCATTTTCCATTACTCCCCTGCATTCAAAGCACAAGGTTTCACTTTTGCTAGCTATTATCTTTCACAACAGAAAGCATAATTAGGGCCCGGTGCGGTGGCACAGTGGTTAGGGTCCTCATCTTGCACAGCCGGGATCCCATATGGGCGCCGGTTCTATCCCGGCAGCCCCGCTTCCCTTCCAGCTCCCTGCCTGTGGCCCGGGAGGGCAGTCGAGGACGGCCCAAAGCTTTGGGACCCTGCACCCGCGTGGGAGACCCGGAAGAGGCTCCTAGCTTTGGATCGGCATAGCATTGGCCGTTGCGCTCACTTGGGGAGTGAATCATCGGACGGAAGATCTTCCTCTCTGTCTCCTCTCTATATATCCACCTTTCCAATAAAAAAATAATAAAAATAAATTAAAAAAAAAAAGAAAGCATAATTAGGATGTCAGTCTAAGATGTGCTAGTGCCCTTCAGTGCTAATGCTGACAGTATGTATCTGGTCCTGGCTAAGAAAAAAAAAGTGCCTTGTTCTTTAAATCCTTCTTAGATTATTTAATGTTTTACTGTGTAAGGGGAATGGTATTGAATGGCTTTGGATTAGGTGTCCTGTTTGTTTTCTTTTTTCCTGCCCACTATGTTAGATCAGAAGGAGGAAACCAGGGGTAGACTGCTGAAGTGTTTTTGGTCTTGTAGCTGTTCAATGAATAGCCAGCATAAGGTTGGACAATAGAAGGGAGAGGAGCATCCCTAGCTTTGCTGTCTTCTGGCCCAATGCAGAATACCACTAGGGCCTTTCGGAGTTGATCAGCGTTCATTCTGCATAGAGGACATGGGGGATGCCATCATCTCTGTGAGCCTGTCACTACCTGTCTCCATCACTCACCCCTCTTCTTTCCATGAATGGCAGAGGGTCAGATGAGGAAGCGTCAGGCAGTAGCCATCTTAGAAGAGCAGGAGGCAGCAGGAGTCTTGAGTTCTTGACTCTGCACTGGCCACTTGGATCCTGCGCTTCTCAACACTTTTGGTGTTCTTAAGTTATTCAACTTCAGAATGACACCAAGGACTGGCTTATTGAGCATAATGGTCACCAGTTAGAACCATTTTATTTCCTTCTTTTTATGACTGGAATATTCCATAGAGTAGATATACCAGCTTCTTTACCCTTTCTACTTTCAGTGGGCATCTGGTGTTGTTTCCAAGTCTTAGCTGTTGTAGACTGTGCTGATAATGGGGGAAGCGGTAGGAAGGAGGGAGAAATCCCTATATCTACAAAACTGTATCATGGAAAACAACAACAATAAAAAAAATAAGCAATTTGAAAAAAAAAATCATATGTGGTACAGGCCTGGTGTTTAAGACACGTTTATCTCATCAGTAATTCTTACCAATCCCCTAGCCCTTGGTCCTTACGTAGTCTCAATTGTCTTTCGTAACTAATGACAGTGCGGCCTCCTCAAGTTGTTTATTCTCATTCTTGTTGTCTCCTGACATCATGTCCTATCTTCCGCTTACAGCTAATATGCAAGGTGTCTACATTAAGAGCCTTATGTGGACGACATACAGAAAAGCTAATGGCATTCAAAGCAATATACCCAGACATTGTGCGACTTCATTTTCCTCCATTATACAAGGAATTGTTCACTTCAGAATTTGAGCCAGCAATGCAGATTGATGGGTAAATGTATCACCTAAGCACTTCTAGAATGTCTGAAGTACAAACCTGAACACAAACAAACAAAATTAACCGAGACACTTTCTATGGCCCTGCAACAGCCCTGGAGCGCCAACACACTGCACATCTTTTGGTGATCGGGGGTCAGGCAAAGGAGGGGAAACAATGAAAACAAATAAAAGTTGAACTTGTTTTTCTCATGCATATGATTTCCATTATGCCTACAGATATGGACCCTTTTTCTGTCTAGACTTCTTAACCCTGATGGTTGACCCCTGCCGACAGCAGCAGGAGGGTACTAAAGTCGGATGATTTCCTTGTCTTTGAGCTCACTGCCCAGACAGAGACTTTCTGAAGAGTCACCCGTCTGTCAGTGACAAGAGAGAGTCCAGCAATAATCGGTGACTGGTGTGCATAGCGGAGGTTGCGGCATTACTTTGCACAACTTGCTCTTTGTTTCATGAAGGAAGTTTTTGTTATTATTTTTTTCCCCACCGATTATTGCCAGTCAGCAGGATGGCATGAAAAGGGTCCATGGCACTAGCAACAATAGCATTATAATATATTACAGGGAAATGGGCATGAAGACTATATATAGCTCAAAGAGATATTGTTTATATATTGTTTTAATTAATATAAAAATGTAGTTACTGGTGTAGCTTTTCCTGTTGAATTGATAAGGCACTTTCATTTTGCACCTTTTCCTTTAAATTAAATGCTAGCGTGTTCACTGTTGTGTCGCATGTGCACCAGAAACACAAGTTAAACTGAGAAGGCTCGGAAGGTACGGCGGGAGGGATTTATGCTGCTGTTTACAGAATTACTTTTAAAAGTCTGGCTGGTCATATCTAGAAATCGCCATGTTGGCTTTTGTTTTTTCCCCACCTGTAAATTTGAACTCTTCCCCTACATGGTACCATACTTTTGAAGGGGGCACTTTCAGGAGAGATGTGTTTATGCTTCATACAAAGTTAAACGATTGCTTGGTGCTGGGGTCTTAGAGCCTCACATAAATGGGTTGTTTCTTGTTTGTTTGTCTTTGTTTTTAAAATTTTAAATGCCACGTTCCAGAAGCAGTAGAGGGAAAGGCTTGTTTTATACAATTCAGTGGCTATTAAGGACACAGCCTCAAATTAGAATTCTCAACACTTTGAGCTCAGTAAGCAGAATATGTATTGGAAGCCAGCATTTGTTCCAAGAAGAACCCAAAGATTCTCTGTGGAGTGACTGGACACTCCCTGTCTGAGGACGTGAGGCATTTTTGTGAATGCTCATATTCTCGGGATCATCGAGAAACCTTACGAATGATCTCAGAGGGAGCTAGACCCCAGACGAGCTGTTTCTGACTGCTACTGTTGTCAAAGATTGCTCTCCATCTTGGATAGACAGTGAATGGGGAGGAAGGGAGGAAGGCATACAATATTGCTCCAGTTTCTTATTTAAATATTGGGTATTTCCCTTAAAGTGAAGTGGAGGCTAACCATTGACTTGTATGTATCTTCATTGGAAAACTGTGGACTCTAATTTATTCTATTAATTATGTAGAAGTTTTCCGGGCTTGTGTTCTGGGGAGAAACATTGCTTTGTGTTGTTGTTTACTTTTGTGTGTTTGGGGGCAAGAGGCAGGAACAGCCTGATCCACATGTGTGCTTATTTGTAAAAACAAGGGACTTTGGGGGAACACAGGCTTTTTGAAGATGATTGCAGTCACCTTCAGGGTGGGATTCCACTACTGGTCTGACATCAGAGAGCTTGCTTCTTACTGGGAAGGGCATCTTGCCCAGGCGATCCTTTATATTGAAGAAAGGGCTTCCTCTCCCATAAGGGCCCTTCCAGAATTGTCCACAGGAATCTGTGACTTCCCAGAGCATCTCACTCTGCTTTCATCTCCACCTACTTTCTGGCTTGTTTCCTTGAGGGACTTGGGAAAGGGCAAGCAATTACACAGACGTGTGTATGAAGCTTAAAAGGGGTACACAAACTTTTTTTTTTTTTCAAAAATATAGTATGGGTTTAATCCTAAAGAGAAAACGTGAGTAATATTTACTTAAAATTCTTAAAGGCATATAAAATTTTGTGTGTTTGTATAGAGAGTTTATCTGTCAGCATATAGTATTTATATTTGGGCAAGAAAGGTTAAATCAGTTTTTTTTTTTAATTTAATTAAGCATAGTTTTCCTTTAAAGATCAATAGTATTTATACTCAGAAAAGAGTCCCAAGTTTAGTTGGGTTATTTATTTGTCCACTTTTTCTCCTGTTGTCTCTCCTTTGGGGGAAGACAATAGGTTGTTTTTATTTTATGTTTTATTCCTTTGGTCATTCAGCTTCACTAAATTTGGGGGTGGTTTTATTAAAGTTTATTACCTTCTTTTTAACCAAAGCTTTCTGAATATGACCAGCCTCAGGTGCTAGTGCATTAAAGAGCAACTAAACCCAATGTCACTGTCCACTCATGAAACCAGAGGAGCTAACTGAACTTCTCTAAGGGTGAGAGAGAACATCTGAGGAACTTATAAAGTCCTTTTCCTGGAAAGGATTTTGCATGGACCTAATGAAAAACAAACAAAACCAGTGAGGCTCTTATCTCAAGAACAGTCATGCCATAGTGACTTTGCTGTGATGGCAACTCAAGGTAGAGCAACATGATACTGCCTCTATAGATCTGAAAGAAAAGCAGGTGGACTTCAAGAGGAACTGAAGCGTAGAGACAGAGATGTACTCAGTGAGGCAAGGGAATAATTGACTATTATTTGGATCCAAGCTGGGATCTGAAGTTAAAAACTAAAGTTCAGTTGAACAGCAAAAATTGGGAGTTCCGAAAAAGATGTTAAAGAAAAAAAAGTTTGCAATTTTAGTTTGTTACTATGAAAACACCTGTGTGATGACGCAAAAATAATTAGTGGTACCAGAACAAGCATTCTCAATAGTTCTTGGACTCAAATGATCATCAACCCAGCTGCTAGAATGCCTCTCTACAATTTTTTTCTCTTATAGAGTAATAAGGCTTTTTGTACAAAGCCCCAATAACCTTCTATTGTAATGGTATCCAGGCGGTTGTATTATTTTGTGAGAAAAACTGGCCTTGGTCACAAAGAAAACAAAAGTGCAGATGAAAGTGCTTTTTGGACAGTTTACAAATTGTGTTAAAACTATGGTTTTTTTTTTTTTTAAGTGTACTGCATCCTAATTTGTGTTAAAGCTATGGATTTTTTAAAAAAGTCTTCAGCATCCTGATTCACCCTACCTAAGTTAAGGAAAACATTTAAGACACTGCTTTTATGTATGGTGGAGATACTAGATGTCTGTGAGTGTATGGGATTAGCTTAAGGGTCATGTGAGGAAGGAGAGTGAGTGTCCTTATGAGTTTGAGTGTGTGATGTGTGTGTGTGTGTGTGTGTGTGTGTGTGTGTGTGTGTGTGACCGCTTCTAGGCTACTAAGTGTCAATGGAAAAGAAAATGTATTCAAAATACTTAAATCAAAACTAGAAGATGGGGGAAAAAAGATTTATTCTATACAAAGCCTTGTCTGGACCACTTTAGAGAGACTTCTATTTTTTTAACCCTTCTATAAATATTTGATGGCACTTGAAATATTCCTGCAATAAAATGTGATTTGTGTAAAGAAAAAAAAAGATTTTGTAATGTGAAACAAAGAAAGAAAGTAATGTAATTTTCTAAAAAAAAAATACAAACAAACAAACTTTGTATTATTTTCTTGATGGAATTTGTCTATCTGTCTTTGGAAAACTTTTTATTTCATTGAATGTGCCATAGTAGAAGTACGTGTTTTTAGTTTTAGACTAAGGAATAGCTAGTCGTTTGTGTTCCGACATTCCAAAATGCAAAACAACCTAGTAGAATCCTTCATGAAGAGGTTTCAGTAGTACGTAAGCTTCTCATTGTTGCTTTTTTGCACATGTTCCTCATTCCTCTCTAGTGCAATATGTACATAGAGCACTTGCGGGTGTACCTTGATCCCTCAGGGAAAAATACATATTTGTACAGTTTTTTTGGTTTTTTGTTTTTTTGGGGGGTTTTTTGCGCCTTTTGTTTTTGGCTAAGGAATGTCGATCGAATCACTTGTTGTTGTTGAGGGGCAGCCAGATAATACTCCTAAAGCCACTGTTTCAAACATTGATTGTTTAAATCATGTGTCCTTCCAATGCTATTATTTTAAGATAATAATAAAAAGTTATTTTCTGACAGTTCTTTGTGCTGATTGGTGAAAGAGAAGGGTAAATAAGCACCTTATGATTGACTTACTGTGAATGACAATCCATCTTGGTAACGATAAAAGCCCTTTCATTTGGGAGTTGGGATTAAGAGTCAGAAAAAGATGTGCTCAGGGATCTCCTAAAACTCTTAAAAACAGGGTGGCCAGTACTACTGGGACAAATTGTGTTTTTTTACTCTCATTAACAATGATAATAATATTATCCCTCGAAAGCACAAGTGAACTGTATAGAACTCTGTGTGTGTATGTGTGTGTGTGTGTGTGTAAACTCTTCACTATTATCTCATTTTGTTGCATTTAAAAAACTTAATGTGCCCTTCTGTCTTGTGTGCTTCAATACACTAACTCCTTCCAAAGCAGTGCAGAGTTGTGCTGGTGTGTTCCAAAGATTACAGGAAACATCACAGCAAAGAGCCACGTTCCAAGGCAGCCCTCGCTCATTCCCTTTGCCATTTCTCAAGTAATTAAAGTGTTCATGATAAACACATAACAACACAGGCTGAGAATTGTTTCAAATTCTACCTACTTATAAATATTTTAAAAACCAGTGATGAGAAACCTGCCCTAGGAAGTGGGGAAAAGATAAAACATGCCTTTTGCAAACATTACTGTCTTTTTCACTACGCCCTCCTCAAAAAGCAAACCAAAAGCACCATTACGTAAAACCATCCTTCCTTCCATATTTGCGCTTTTATTTCTTGATGAACTGAGATGAGGGCTAAAATTTAAAGCCAAAACAAAACCTGCCTGTGTGAAAGCAGCTAGGGCCAGCTCTTAGGCTTGCACGTGACACTACTAAAGTATAGTTTTGTTCTCCTAGTCCTGTACGTTACCTTCCAGAAAGTCTGACTCGACTTCACTGTTGGCTGAGTCTTCCAGAACCCATCTTCAGAGTAAGATTTACATATTTCTTATCTTAGAGAAGTATAAATTTGGAAAAATTAATGATAAACTTTGTTTTATTGTTTCAGATAAGGAAAAGCGTAGAAATCTTTCCCCCTTCCCCACAAGTACATGAGGGTACTTTGAAGAGGTCGTGAAAAATGGAACTAAAATTTGAGTTGATTTTGGTGCAAAAAGGTTTTTGAAATCCATGTATAGTTTTTGCATAATATGTGTTTTCCATATATATAATGAAAAACATTTTGGCATCAATAATTTCTGTGCAAATTCATACTTTTAATTTCATTCTCCAAAAAAATTAAAAGATTCTCTTACATAAGTATATACACATACACATGTTATTTACATTATTTCATGTTATGACATGCAACTGCTATGTCTTCCTTATAAAATTATGATACAGAACCCTATAAAAACAACTTTTTATTACAGATCTGTGTGCCCGGAAATGTAATTGCATCAGCAGATCTCCAATTGATTTCTTTTGGTCTGTAATGCAGGTCCTCATTCCATCTCTGAACACTGTTAACATGAGGAGATCCCACCACATTGCATCCGATACCTTTGCACTGCTGCTCATTTGAAAGAGATGAGGAGGTTGACTAGCAGTGTCTCCACAGAGCAATTCATTTCATTTCTGGGTCTGCTTGCTTGTTTATCTGTGTGAGTGAATGAGATCATTTTGGCCAGGCTCTCAGAATAACACAAAAAAGATACTCCAGAAGCCTGGCTTCAGATCAAGGAAGCAGGGTAAACGAGGGCATCTCCATGTCCAGTCAGACCCTCGGAACTTAACAGCAATAAGTACATCCCATCATTTATTGATTTATTAAGGAGTGAGAATATTCAGCCATGCAACATGGAGTCTTGTGTAGAGAGAGTGTATAGGAGTATTTCAAATAGAGGCTGAGGGAATCCACGCTTGCCACTTACTTGAAGCGTGCTTTGCCACAGTAGCACCTCACCTTTTCTTCTGCTAAGAACTAATGACAGGTAGCTTGCTTAGACATGCTGCCCATGCCGTTACGTCCTTTTCTAGGGGCTAGGAATTCTCTCCCGTGTACATGTGTGATTCCTTTTTCACTCATTATTTAATGTGGATGAGTACTATTTCTAGGAATATGATTATCATTGAACAGACTGCATATGTAAATGCAGATCATTCTGGAGCAATATAGTGAAAACGATTTCACAAAAAAAACAATCCGTATGTACTGTACACATTTTCCTGAATCCAAAATTCTTTTCTTATCCACAACGGTCTGAAATCTCATGATCAAACAGTGGTAACATTTTTGAACATTAGGACATTAGCTGGCTGCTTCTTTAAATGTACCTGTATCGTCTGCCTGCTCCTTTTCTGGAGATGTGTTTTGTATTGGATGTTTGGGCCGATGGGAGGCTTCAAGCTACAACATATTTTCCCAGTTTAAATATATTTAACATATGACAAACCCCAGACAAGGCTTTTATTATGTATAAAGAACTGCAGTGTTAGGTGGTTTATTTGCAAACCGTTTTCAATGTTGTCCATTTTTATGGCACCTTTAACAATATTGTTTCCAAAGTACAAAAAAAAAATAGGTTAAATAATCTAGCCATAACTGAATGTCAAGCAATAAAACAAATGATTTTTGTGTATAGACTTAAACAAAATACCAATTTTAGACATCTGCATGTAAATGCAATCTCTTGTTTACTGCTTTCTTCAACTTGAGCAATTGATTCCTTATTTACTATTAACTTAAGAACTTGTAATGGCCTGTAAACATTTTCTCTCTTACTCTTCTTTCAAATTTACCTTCATCCCTGCTTTTGAGTCATAATATTTAATGTTGTTCTGCACATCTCTATACAGTTAACTTTTTGGCTTTCATCCTGTATAGATAAGAAAATGTTATATTATAAACAGCCTACTCAGTGCAAATATTTATCTGTTTATCAAATCCACAATATGCTGTATAATACTGGTTTTACTATATAATCTATTTTAGACATAGCTGTTTAGAACTAGAGTGTGCTATTTTTGTGTTTTTCTGATGTGTGGTGCTAGATAAGTTACTTTTGTGAACAACAACAACAAAAAAACCCTTTTATTCCTAGACAATACCACCTTTGGGTCTTGTTAATTTCACTGAGTTTAACTATATATTTGTATATATATACATATACATATATATATATATATCTACCTGTACCCAACTGGCAGCTGTATCAGAGTGCTGGATTTGGGACATGCTTTTCTCTTTAAATACATAATATCATATAAATTATTCTAGAGTATATTTAATTAGGATAAAACTACTTCCTTAGTATAGACATTTGACATCCGAAGGTTCAATTTGTTTATAAACCTGGATATATGAAGACGTATCAGCATTTCTCTTTGCTGCTTGGCTTTATAACTGCTTTTGTGATTCCTAAACTGAAAAATAATTTTTGCCAGGCCTTCAAGATCCTCAAGAAGACACTCCTGACTGAGTCATGTTTTTTTTTTCTTACTAAGGAATTTTGGTTTTGTCACCTGACAGTGTTGCATACTTAACTATGGTTTTTTAAAAAAGCATTTACACGAGCCATGGTGGCTTGATGGCAAAGAAACGTAGTCTCTCACCATCTGAGTCACGAGAAGAGTGGAGCCAGCTCTGGCACAACATGGGCCATGATGCACATGTGACAAGGGATGTGTGTTTCTATGTGACTTCATCCAGTTCTGTGAACTGAGTGAAGGGACCTTCCTTTTTAAAAGCACCTAACAATGAGCTCTGATAACTATTTCACTTATACTCCCCAAATCTATTGGCTCTGCTAAAAATCAAAGTAATCAAATATCTAACTAAGGATGTAGTTAACCTTATTAAATATTGATTAGAATTGTTCTGTAATATTACTGAATTTGTAAGATCTTTAGCAAAGATTTTTGAGCAATTTATAAATATAGAGCAAATGTTTCTGTTTACTGCACTTTTTATAATTGAAGGTGATACATTCTCAAGCCATGATCACTGGCTTCCATGCATTGCATATTTACCCACAATTCTAGACATTTTCCATTTTTATGGAAGAGTTTTTTTCTGTTACCTTAATTATAAATGCAATTGTGTGGTTAATGAGAGCTAATGTTAATAGTTAACCTTATAACATGAATTGGCTACGGTTCAGAGGGAAGTCTCAATAACAATCACATCATTCCTTTACTGTCTCACTTGGAAAGAGATTGAAACCATTTTTTTTTTCCAAGCATGATTTAAACATCCCAAGATTCCCCAGGTTAGACATGGCATCTCTGCACCTGCACATTGGCCAGCACATGTCAGCGTCTGATAACTATTAAATGACAACAAATGTGCCCAATTTGAACTTTTTTCCTGGGTTATTTTGGTAAATAAAGTACGCCAAGCCTTAGGGTTAACATTTTCTTCTACAACTGAGTATTAAAATGGCATTTTAAAAGATCACATGAAATGCTAACTACTTGTGTGTAGGTCTTCAGGATTAAGCACACAAATTTCACAAAACTCTGTGAGTAACAGACTCAGCCTTCTGTAAATATACATACAAGTTTGGAAACAGTAATACTGTCCCTATAAATATTTGCCGTCTGTTTGGTGTACAGTATGTAAAAACTCCTTTTCTGCCACACTAAAAATCCAAGCCATTTATGGGAATCCTAAAAATAGTATTGATCTAATAAACCTTTGCTAATGATCTTTATTTACAGGATCATCCAAACTTATCACTTATATTGGGTTTTCTTTTCATTTCACTCTGACAGTAGTCTGCTTATTTCCAGCTGTTTATTTTATTAAGTCCTGGATTTAAAAAAAAAAGATATTTTGATTCATTTTGTAAATACAAGCTGTAAAGAGAGATTTAATGTTGTCTTTTAAATACTCTGATTTTCATTCTAATATGAATGTTGTTATATTGTACTTAGAAACTGTACCTTTAATATTACATTACCTTTATTAAAGTGCATTGAACACATCAATTTTAGATGTGCTTTATGTACTGTTATCCTATAATAAAACTTCAGCTTCTAATGGAACATTTGCCTTGGTTTTCTTCCTTTTTGCTTGTTTACTGAGTTGCATTGTCATAATTTTCTAGCTTACATCTTGTCTCTAATGAATGGTCCAGTATAAACTTTATAGTTCAAGTGTGCTGCACAGACCCATAGCAACAGCACCACCTGTGACCTTTCTGGAAATGCAGAAACCCAAACATCACTCCCTACCTGGTCAATCAGCACTTTCCTAAGATCCCACTGGATCAGTATACCTGTGAAGAAGCTGGAGGACCACTGGTTTGTGCTATAGGACATTTTAAAAAATTCACTTCCATTTTATATGGGAAAAATGTATATAAAGATGAAGCTTCCTTGTTGATCAAAGTACTGAATCATAAGGAAATGTCCATTGATGGGTAGTTGCAGTTAGGAACGCACACCTTTTGTGGGGGCTTCTTCCTGTCTCAAGGGAAGACGGTGCCATGCTGGATCAGTGATGTGTTGTTCCCTGAGTGTAGGAGGAAGTCATGCATGCGTACTGCACACGGTTACCTTTGCTTGAGAAATGACTTTAATGGAATGGAAGAAATCATGCCAAAGACTACAGAATTGCAATTTCTGGCCCCCACCTCCATGCCTTTTCCTGACTGGATTACTTAGCTGATTTAAATATGTGATTCTCCCTAAGTATCACACTGTTTCAACAGTGCAGAAACCTCATCATGAATTATTTTACAAGGAATCTCTAGGACATGTAAATTTTAAAATGTTCTGAAGGCAGAATAAAGGTACCTGGGTTAGCATTTACACACACACACACAGTACAATACATGTGGTCTCTAACCTCAGTAGACATTAAAAATTTGAATTGATGTCAATTAATGGATTTTTCAACAACCTCATCGTGTTTGGAGAGGCAAGATTGGCAGCAATTTCAAAACTGGTGACCTATTGAAACCACTTCAACGAGCATCTCGGAGCATGCCCCACATGCGGGACTTGGGGTGGGTGGGAAACCGGGTGGGGCTTCTCCCTCAATATCCCACTCTACCTCAGATATATGAAGGAAACAATATGAAAATAATAGTCTTACCCACTTTCCTGTAGCCCTTGACCCTTTTTGCCCAAATTAACTATGTAATGATTGACAAAATAAAAACAATTATTACTAAAAAAAATTTAATCAGAATTAACCGAAAAAAAAAAAATTTGAATTGATCCCAAAAGTTTCTGCCCACAGCAGTACTCCCCGAATCTATGTTTATTCCCAGGCACCTTGCAGAAGTATGAGGTGACGCCTCTGTAGGATTCCCAATTCCTAATTTACCCTAGCCCCGTCCCAGCTTCTGCAGCCATTTAGGGAGTGGGCTACTGAGGGGGAGATTGATAAATCTCCCCTCTCCAGTCTCTCCCCTCAAAAAAGGAATAAAATCCTAAAAATATTTTAAGAATGAAATTTTTTCAAGCAAACCATCTTTGAACCCAGGAGAACTGCACTTCTGGCTCCCCACCACCCTATTACTGACTTAAAACAAGCCTAGATTCCCAAGAGCAAAGCCCTATTCTCTAGCAGGAACCCTCTCCCTTCCTTACACAACTGGGAGCTGCAAAAAAAAAAAAAAAAAAAAAAAAAAGTGCCAGTGATGCTGGAAAGGGATCAGAAAATATAACTAAGTTTTAAATTAATTTCTACTTGGGGAAGATACAGATTGACTACAGTATCATACAGTCACCCCTCAGCAATGCATTTCATTTCTTGCTTCTGCACCTGATGAAATGCTCATACAATACTATAAATATGAGAGTGGCATTCCTTCTGTGGAAGAGATGCTGATGTATCCATCAGTTGTTCTATACCTAATCAACTAAAATAACTTTAATAATGGCTTCAATAAAAGCTAATTTGGAGAGGGACCTCATCACAGGTCCCATACCCATTCTCTGCCTCTCAAAATGTACACTGTATTTCAAAGACAGATACAAATTTACAAACTATTCTGCTTGGAATTATCTCTGCCATTGTCAGTCAATCCCTCCTTCCTTCCCTCCTTCCCTTCCCTCCCTCCTTCCCTCCGTCCCTCATTCCCTTCCTTCCCTCCCTCATTCCCTTCCTTCCTTCCTTCCCTCCTTCCCTTCCTTCCTTCTCTCCTTCCCTCCTTCCCTCCTTCCTTCCCTCCCTCCCTCCTTCCCTTCCTTCCTTCCCTTCCTTCCTTCCCTCCTTCCCTCCCTCCCTCCCTCCCTCCTTCCCTCCTTCCCTTCCTTCCTTCCTTCCCTCCCTTCCTTAGTCCAACATTCAGGTGAACAGTTCATTCAGGGGTCTTTCAAGCTAAGCATCATGTAATTACACAACATGTATTTTAGAGGCCTGCATTGTAGCACAACAGATTAAAATGCTATTTCTAATACCAGCATCCCATCCTGGAGCACTGATTTGAGTTTCTACTGCCTTGCTTCAGATCCAGCTTCCTGCTAATGTGTTTGGGAGACAGTAAATGAGGGTCCATATACTTGGGTCTGTCACCCATGTGAGAGAGACCTCTCCTGGCCCAATCCTGGATGCTGGTAAATGAACCAGTGGATGGAAGGTGTCTCTTCTGTCTATGTCTTTCTCCCCATCACTATGCTTTTCAAAAAATGCATACACAAGAAAATATATTTTGAGTAGAGAAATTTGAAATCTTGGTCATTTTGTTCTGTCTGACAGCATATCCTAAGCCTGAGTATTTGGCTGGTTTTCAGGACCTGTGACTTTCTTTCCCTTTGAAATACCATTTTTAAAAAAGATTTATTTATGTTTATTACAAAGTCAGATATACAGAGAGGAGAGACAGGGAGGAAGATCCTCCGTCCAATGATTCATTCCCCAAGTGAGTGCAACGGCCGGTACTGAGCCGATCCAAAGCTGGGAACCAGCAGCCTCTTCCAGATCTCCCATGCGGGAACAGGGTCCCAAAGCCTTGGTCCGTCCTTGAGTGCTTTCCCAGACCACAAGCAGGGAGCTGGATGGGAAGTGGAGCTGCCGGGACCAGAACCGGTGCCCATATGGGATCCCGGTGCATTCAAGGTGAGGATGTAAGCCGCTAGGCCACACCGCCGGGCCCTAAAATACCATTTATTGCTGGAAAGTCTAATTTAAATCAAAGGCTACCCAATACTTTGAGTCAATTGCTAGATGGAACATCTTTGCTAGAGAGCTGCTCTGAATTCTCATTCTGAAAATACCTTTCCAGTGATTGTAAATCCAGGAAGCAATTCTCTGTGAAGTAGTTACCAAGTTGCCAACTTTACCATAATTAAGCAAAAAATGCCAAATTGTAATATGTAAAAGAACAAAATTCAAGCATCTTATACATTTCTCTTTCTTGATTTAGTCCAGAAGAATACACACCTAATAAAACTATAATTTCACTTACCTGGCATTTGCAACCTTGAAATTTGGTATGATGAAGCATTATAAACTCCTAGGAACTACATATCATTATAAATTCTGCCAAAACTTAAAGGGTTCTCAGTCAAATTTTGGATTGGGCAGAATGGAAAACCCACTCTTTCTTCTGCTTAACACTCCACAGTATGGTTATACCATCACTTTGGGAAATGATTTACCAATTTCTTTTAAAATTACATGTAAATTCATCACACAACTTAACAGTTCCACTCCTAGATATCTACTCCAGAGAAATAAACACAAAGACTTGAATACATATATTACTCATGATAGCCAAAAAATGGAAACCAAGTCCTCATCAAACACTGACTAGATCAGTGCATTGGGCTCATTCACACATTAGCTACTACCACTCAGCAAGATAAAGTACATGCATCAGTAACACATGTCATGGCACGGAGGATCCTAAAAACACAGGCCAAATCTACATGTAAAAGCTACATATTACATGATTTCATTTATATGAAATGTCCAGAAATGACAGATCTGTATGCAGACTGGCTGGGGTTGAAAAGCAGCACCAGCTACACACAGCACACAGGATTTTTCCGTAAAATGGAAATGCTCTAAAATCTAGCAGTGCTGACGGTTGCAAGACCCTGTACATTTGCCAAAAATCCCTTCATGATAACATGTTTCACTTCAAACAGAAACAGGTGAATTTTATGAAATATACATAACAGCTCAATGAAAGCTGTTTATACACACCGTGGTTCCCCATAACCCAGAAAATAAGCCGCATCTCTCACATGAATAACTTTTCCTCTCCCCCAGACATACAGAGCCAATTCACACTTCTGTGTGTTCTGCATATCTGAAAACACACAACCTGTGTTACCCAGTGAACTCCTACTCATCCGTCAAGAAGCAATTGAAGTCCTTTGTCCGAAGCAGTCGCTATACTGTCTGAATTAATTGTTCCTTACTCCTTTGTGTTCCCACAGTCTTCCATGTGTGTACAGCCTATCTTCGCTGTTCAAGCCTTTCTTTATAGTGCTATCTCTGCTCTTCTACTGGTCTTTGATATTTTACATTTTTCTGAATATTCTGTGAAAGGAGACAGAGCACTCATCCATGGACTCACTCTACAAGTGCCTGCACAGGCTAGAGCTGGGCCAACTTAAAGGTAGGAGCCAGGACTCCTGGTCTTCTGGTCTCCTGGGTGAGTGGCAGGAATGCAACGGCAGGAACCATCCTTCCCAAAGTGCATATTAAGAAACTCGAGTGAGGAGCATAGTCCAGACTCTGCCCAGGCACTCTGATGTTGTTGTCTTACCTGCTCAGCTAGATACTATCTCTATCTTTGATCCTATTTTGAAGGAAAACTACATACCATAAAACTGTTATTGGTGGCACCTTTAATCCAATCCTCTCAACACTCATGCAGGTGAAGTGTTACTGTCTCCATCATTCGGGTGAGGGAAAAAGACTCCAGAAACACACACAATGATTCCACTCTCAGGGACAGGAAAACTGACATACATACCTGCTAACTCCCCAAAACCCAGACTCAACTAAGATGCTTGGGGCTTCATGGTAGAGCATAAAAAAGGAAGCTGCATATGTTTAATCTACTTATTTTTTTTACT